ACCGTCTCCTTAGCATCCATTTTGATGGCTGGGACAACGAGTATGACCAGTGGGTGGACTGCGAGTCTCCAGACATTTATCCTGTGGGGTGGTGCGAGCTGACAGGCTACCAGCTTCAACCACCTGTTGTTCCAGGTGAGTGAAGATTTTCCTGTGATTTCTAATGCTAGAGGCAAAGGTTTCCTTCCTCCTGCTCTCTCAGTGGCTCCTTTTTTGAGCCTTGTAGAGAGGAGAAAATTGCCTCTTTGATTTGCACTGGATAACCTAAGTCTTCCTCTGCTGCCACATGTTCTAGCAGCTGGCAGAGGGAGGAGACTGTCGCGGGGAGAAAACAGGCTGAGATTTGAGGTTGGCTCTGTTTTCCCTCTGTTCCCCCACTGGCACACCAGCAGAATTGCTCCTCGTGAAGTCGGGTAGAGTTACAGGTGGTCCTGTCCCTGCACAGCTCCCTTTTGCTAAGCATACCTACAACCTCAGCCAGGTAGCGGGGGGAGCTTGGCCCCTGCTCCCTTTCCTCATCAATTCTCTGACTCTGTCTGTAAAAGGCAAGAGCATCCCTCTCGAGTTCATTCCTTCCCTCGTCACAGGGAGGCCACTGCCTCACCTTTTGCAGATGTTTTCCTCCTTGTCCCAGGCTACAAATCTTGTTTCTTTACTGCCCCTGCCAAATCTCTACTGGGCCTCTCTCCCCTGTGCCGCCCTGGGCCCTCGCCTGGAAGCACAGGCAGCAACTGCGCTAGAGCCTTGCTTTCCCCTCAGCTGGTTGTCTTGGGAAGAGGGCGTTGGCTCGGGGGGACGGGTATATCTTTGTTTCTCGCTTATGTCACTTCATCCCAGTTACCTACTGGTTATGGGACTTGGCTTTCGTTTCCCTCTCGTCTCCATGACAGAGCCCACAACTCCAGTGAAGGCCAAGGAGGTGCCCAAGAAGAAGAAGAAACCCTATGGAAAGAAGAGTGAGTGATGTTTGATTAGCGCCCTCCCGCTCGCTCGCAGGCTGGGCCCAGTTAGAGGAACTCTGTCCTTGTCCCATCAGAGCAGGAGAGAGAGGCCTTGTCTTGCTGTGGACGCCCTCAGTAACCTGTGGGTTTGACAACACAGCTTTGTCCTTCTTAACTGCCCTGTTACGTAAAAGAGCAGAGCGCTGTGTGTGTGTGAAGGATCTGTTTTGCAGTCTGTTTTCTGTTGGCCGAGGTACCGATGGCACTTGCTTCCAGGCGTGAGGTTGTGCTGCTTTCCCTACTGTGTCCGTGGTCAGAGGGAGATGGTTTGCTGCAGCTGGAGGGTGGCTGGAGAGCAACCCTGCCCGCTTTGTGCTGAGGGAAAGACGGCCTTAACACCACCGAAGAGGCCAGTAGTGGGGCTGGACCATGTTACTGTTTCCTTTTGTCGTTGTTGTCATCATTGTTGCAGTAGCTGTTGGCAAATCATGTGTAGACAGGCAAGAAATGCATTCCTGGGGGGTGGAAAGGAAAGGACAGCTAAAGAATATAAAGACGTTCAACCTGAATGAAAATGTCAGCTAAAAGTGAAAACAATGCTACAATGTCCAGGCCTTGCAGCCAGTGTGCCCATTGCCTAGGACTAGACCCAGACAGGTAAGCAAAGCTGACTCCAGACTAATTCCAACAGGACCTGCTCCTTGGAAGTTAAGCACATGCCGAAGTGCCTTGCCTTTAATGAAGGAGAACATGGAGGAGCATGTTTTGAGATGATGACTATAGATTTTTATTTTTTTTTTTCCCTCCAGTAGGCCATTTCTGTTGAGTAACCAGTTGGCAGCTAATGACCATGTAGCTTGGTGGTCAGTTGTGCTGGTCCCTGGCCTGTGGTTTCTCAGTGGAGCAGGGTTGCTGATTGTTTTCCAAGGGAAAAGAAACACACTTTTCCCCATGCTCTGTTATCTCTTTGTTAAGGAAAAAAGTTACCTGCCAAAACCCGCAGCATCAAGCAGACTGTCAAGAAACCTTCTACCCCGAGGACAAAACGAGAAGCAAAAGCTGCCAGCAAGGCTTTGCCAGACCCAGCACCTGACGAGAGTAAGGGAGTGAGTTACTCTGCCCAGCAGCCACATGCAACACTCTTGCGTACCCCCTGCATGCCACTTTGCTTCCCAAGGCCTCTGCGGCCTCTTGGCTGTTAAGTCAGGGGTGTCCCCAGGCAGGGAAAGGCAGCACTGTGGCAAATGTCCTTCCCCACTCCTCTGGAGACAGAGAGAATGAACGAAAGCCTTGGTCTGCTTTCCCTGGGAAGGTTTGATGGCACCGGCACAGGTAGATGTCTTGATACTGCTGAGGGCCTGGCTGCCCGACTGAGCAGCCTGGCCACGTGAGGTCAGTTAAGGAAGAGGGACAAGTTGGAGATGTCAGAGGTGTGCTGGCACACGCCAGTCCCCACAAGGGCTGTCGCAGCCTGTGAACACAGCCCGTCGTGTTGGCCATCGAAAGATGATGTGACCAGAAGAGCATCTGTCAGCTGGGTCACCTGCCAACCCTTGAGGGTGTTGGGGAAGAGGGTGGGTGAGGTGCTCTGTGCACATGGGGATGGAGCCTCGTGAAGGCCCGCGGTGCTCACAGAGGTTTAATTTCCCCTGTGGGAACCGAGACGGGTAGAGAATGGCTTTTCCTCCCTTGGCCCTCAGAGAAGTTGTTCTTGGGAGCAGGTAGCTGAATGCTGCGAGGGTTTAATCTCGTCCTGATTGCTGCCGTGACCATGGGTAGATCTGTGCTGGCAAGACAGGGCTGCCTGTAGTCAGGGTCCCTCAAGAAGGGGGCTGGAAACCTGGGGCATTTTGAGTGTCTGCATGAACAGAGCTGGTTCTGGGGTGCTGCAGGTAGAGCCGAGCGGCATGGGTTGATTTTACTTACTTATTTTTCCCTCTCTCTGTCTGTTGCTAGTCATCACAGTGCAGGTGAAAGAAGAAACCATTGACCCCTCAGTAGTAGAGTTTGGAACCACAGAGCTTCCCGTTCCTGTCAGCAGCATAAAGCAGGAGGTCACAGACTGATCCTGGAGTATCCCCTAGGTGCCCACGGCAGCCTGCGCTTCACCTTGTGGCTCTCTGGGGAAGTCCCTAGCAAAAGGAAGCAGAAGACTGAAGGGGCTTTCCCTTCTTGAGGCAGACCACCCTGCAATGTCACAACTCTGCTTTCCTGGTGTGCAAGAAAATTTTCCCCAGATTTGTAATTTTAAGGACCGGGAAACAGACTCCAGAGAGGCCGCAGGCACGCTGAGGGGCACGGCCAGGGTGGCTGGGGGGGTTGTGCGTGCCTGGCTTCGAAAGCCCCTCTCTGAGCAGGAGCTCCCAACGGGGAAAGAGGCTGCCAGAGCACGGAGGGGCAGTTTGGGTTCTCGGCTGTGGCTGGAGGTGGTGAGCTGCAGTCTGAGATGATGTGTGCGGGTCACACGCGTCAGGAAATCGGCTGCCCTCGTAGGACATAGGTGCTGTGCTCACTGGTCTAGTCCCTGCAGCCCCCAAGAAAGTCAGGACAGGAAGAGTGAAAAGAAGTGGGAAAAAAAAAAAAAAAAATTACAAAAAGAGATGATGATGCCTCTTGAGGGAGCAAGAGACCTTTTTGAGTGTCATCATTTCTTGCTTTTGAACCCAGAACTGCAGAGGACATGATGCACAGTTTGAATTCTTAATTTTTTAGAGGTCCTACTGTAAATTTGATCTACCGTCTGTACCCTAAAGCCCTGAGAATTAAACTTAAGAAAGAGGCCAAAGGCTTGTGTATTGTTTTCTGAGTCACTAAAATACCAGTTAGCCAAGATGGAGAAGAGATCTGTAAGTAGGTAAGTATAAGTAAACAGTGGTTTGGGTTTGGGGTTTTCTTTCGAGGCATGCAGTAGGGTTTTTCTGTGCACTTGCTGCTCCCTTACTTGCCAGTTCTGCATAAGGGCCGAGTATCACAAGAGCACATCAGAAAATTTAAATCGGGGGATGCCATTTCTTGTTTTAGGGCAAAATGTAACCTCTTTTTCCCCAGACTGGCCACCGAAGTTCAGGACAGAAGTCAAAGGTCAGTGTGGTAACAGTGATGAAACCCAGTTTTAAATCTCCTTGTAGCAGGGTTCTGTGAACTCTCTGCAGGTGAGGGAGTGCCCTGCCTGTCAGTGCCACTGCGGGGCCTGGCCGGCTGTAGGGCAAGCGCCTTGTCAAACCCTCCAGGGAGGTGGTGGCTACCCAAGACACCGCCTTGGCCACAGAATGGCTGCCTTGGCCATGCTTCCCTCGAGCTTCCAGGCAAGAGTTTGTGATGCCAAAATAGTTCCCACTTTGCGCAGTGGTTTGTGATTAAAGGAAAAAAAAAAAAAAAAAGTTGGCAAGCTAACTGTCCAGAAAACACAGGATAGAGAATGAGAGTAATTAGCACAGTCTTCCTCTTTTTTCCCTTCTAAGGAAGCAAACAGCCTTCAAGGGGAAAGGGAAGAAAAGGTCCTGGGAGAGCAGTGAGACACTGAGACCCTGGGAGGGCCCTGGGCTCCTGGGGAAAGCGTGGTGGGGTGAGCGTGGTGCGAGGCGTGGGATTTTCATGGGAAGCAGGTAATGAGGCTTTCCTGCCCACCTGCCCGTGGCAGCTCGGCCTAGCTCCAGCTTGCAATAGGTGTCTTAATGTGGGAAGGATCTCACTTTGGGGCAAAGCCATTGTGTTTGTCTCTTCCCCTCGGGCTGCCACCTGTCCCCAGCCTTGTCAAACAGATGGGCTTGTAGAGCCCTGTTATAGGATGATCATTTCCAAACACCTTTGGCTTTCTTCCTCCTCTTTTTTGCTGTAACAGTTTTATGCCCCACATGGTTATTTAACAGCTAGAAGTGTTTGTCTTTTAGAGCCTTCCCCATCTGAACAAACTTCTGGCTTTAAAATGGGGCCTGGGGTGTCCTAACCTGGGCTGCCATGGGGAATAGTTTGGGTACATCACTTATGATGGGATCATTTATGGGATGGGTGATCCCATTCCACTGATTGGACTACCGATCAAATTTTGCAGGAAATAGAAAGGTTTAAATCTGCTTATGTTTTAATTGTGAGGAGTTGCTGGAAATTCGGGCAATGTGTGTTCACTGATGATAATAATTTTAAGTCTTCTGCTCTAAAATTTGAGCCAGTGGAGGACCTTGTGTTGGTGCTGCTTGCAGTCCCGCTCAGGGCTCTTCAGTTGTTTCTGAAGCTGTGAAAGCACAGCGCTCTTAAAACCAAAACCAAGCTTGTGGATTCCAGCTTTTCCACATGGCTGGAAGGAGCCTTGGGAGGTAAAAAAAAAAAAAAAAGCAAGTATTTGGCTTTGTTGTTCAAGTCATCAAAGTGTGCTGCAAACACTGCGGAAGTTTTCTGCACCGGTTCTTTACGGGGTAACATGCCTCTGTGTCCTGCAAAAACAAACTCTGCATCTTTGACAAACGGGCATCGCTTCGGTGGCACCAGGCTCTCCCCTTCGCACCTTGTGCGATACCCAGGTTGCTGCAGTGGGGGCAGGTCGAGAAAAACTGCTCTTGCCAAACTGTAGATACCCCCCGTGGCATCCCGCACACGTTTCCTAAGCTCTGGCTGGTGATTTTCCTGATCTCTTTTTCTTGCTGGTCTTGCTCACCGCCTTGGTCTTGTCAGGACTGGCTCCCCCAGCCTCACCTCGGCCCCAGCCAGGGCAGGTTTGAAAAGCGGTAGAAAGCTTCACCTTCAGCCCCAGGGCTTCTGCAGGGGACCCGCAGGTGGCCCCTACACGGAGGTTGAGTTTGTTGATCCACCTGGAAATGTGGCAGGAGATCAGGGAAAGGAACGGGACGGGCTGAAGGGAGGGACCAAACTCCATTGCCCCTGAGTGGGTGCAGGTGGCTTCAAAGCCAGGCCAGGTGGCTCAGGGTCTCACCTGGGTAACTATTGAATATCTGAGTATCTTCCCCACCCCAGCTCATAGGCTGCTTCCCCTACACCAGGAAAGCCCAGGCGACTTCCATCTTTGCACGTACAGGCACGTGCTCCATCCTGCCACCGTGGGAGAAGAGCCAAAACGGCCACTGTGCCGGTGGCTTGTGCCTCCAGCACAGCAGGGTCCAGGTTCCCCCCTCCCCGGGGCTGTTCCCCCCCTCCCAGCACTCACCGGCGCAGGGGAAGGAGCTGGCAGTTGCAGTGGAAAGGCACGTCCCTCAGGTTGAGGATCTCCAGCCCTGTGAAGTTGCTCAGGTCAGGGATGTTGCTCATTTTGTTACTCTCCAGGTAGAGGCTTCTGATCTTGGGACCGAGGCCAGCAAAGGCACCAGGGGAAATCTGCGATGAAGGGAGGGGAGAGTGAGTTGGAGGGGGTCTCGATGGGGACAGGGGAGCAAATCTCCTGCCCCTGCACTGCTAATCAGCCTGCGAGGCTGAGACAGCCTGTCCTGAACCTGGTGGCTGGGTGAAAGAGCTATTTTAAGCAGCAGCACATGTGCTAGGGGACTTTTAATTAACCCAACCAGTTTGGGTCACATTTTGGGACTCCCTAGACCCTGCTCAGTCTTCCTGGAAAGACACTCAGGAGGTCTTAGAGCAATCGCTGGGTGCTGTTAAAAGTGGATGGGCCTTATGAACGTGGTGCTAACACCGCTTTCTTTAGAGGATGGGAGAATTCAGGGTGTTGGTGAAGAATCCTGCAGGACAGCTTGTACTAAGAGCAACAGAAATAAGGCCAGGGCTGGGGGAAGGGGGCTATTTGGGGAATGGCTTGGACCCCACTGAAACTGTATCCTTAAGGGCGGGGAGGAGGGAGGCTGTCCCAGGGGAGCTGGGAGGCAGATTGGAACAAGACAAGGCTCTAGCTGAGCCCGAGGCAGCCTTTCCTCCTGGCCAGGCTATGGAGCATCTCCTAAAAGCCTTTGGGGGTTTAGGATGTCCATTCAGCTTCCCGTACAGGGGCCACCAGCCCTGGCCACCGGAACGAGATGGGACCGATGGCTGTGCCCCGCAGTTCCCCTGACCCTCGGGAGTCCCCAGCCCCACACACCCGCTCCAGGCCCATGTTGTCCAGGTAGAGGTGCTGCAGGCTGGAGGCCACGGGCAGGAACGCGCCGTCCCCCAGGTGCTTGATGGGGTTTCGGGACAGCTTCAGCTCGCTCAGGGCGGGCAGACCCCGCAGGGCTGCCGTGGGCACCTCCGCCAGGCGGTTTCCCTCCAGGTGCAGCTTCTCCAGCATCTTGGCCGGAGCCAGGGCGGTGGGGGCGATGTGACCGATGGCATTCCCGGCGAGGTAGAGCCAGCGCAGCCCCCTGGCCCCGGCCAGGTCACCCTCTGCCAGCTCCCCGATGGCGTTGTGCTGCAGGTGGAGGGAGATGAGGTCGGGCAGGAGCTGGAAGGCACCCGCGGGCAGGCGGGCAAAATCGTTGCGGTCCAGGTCGAGGTAGGCCAGCCGCGGGGCCCCCTCGAAGGCGGTGGCTGCCAAGGTGGAGAGGCGGTTGTCGGTGAGGTAGAGGTAGACCAGACTCTCCAGCCCCCGCAGCGCCCCGGGGCGCAGCGCCCCGATGCCGCAGCTCTGCAGGTGGAGGGACACCAGCTCCTTCAGGCCGGGGAAGGCGCCCGGCGGCACCGTCCTGAAGGTGTTTCGGCGCAGGTCGAGGAGGCGGGTGTCCCCGGGAAAGCCCCGGGGGATCTCCCGCAAGGCCCTGTTCTCGCAGGAGCCGTGACGGAAGTCGGGGGAGCAGGTGCACCCCTGGGGGCACTGCCCGCTGCCGCCCGCCCTCGGCGGCTCCGACGGCGTGGTGGGGCTGGGGGGCGGCTGGGGGGGGCTGCATCTCATCTCAGGGGGCCTCAGGGAGTCGAGGGGCCGGCCGCGGAGATCGGGGGGTGCAGCACAGGTCCCCTCCGCCTGCACCCGCGCCCTCACCAGCCAGTCGTGGAAGGGGCGCAGGAGGCAGGAGCAGAGCAGAGGGTTCCCGGCCAGGCTGACCCTCAGCAGCCCCCCAGCCCCGGCCAGGGGTGGCAGCCCCCGCAGCTGGTTTTCGCGGAGGTCCAGCGTGCGCAGCTGGGGGCTGTGGGCGAAGGCGTCGGGTGCCACTTCCTGGAGGGCGGCGTGGTCCAGGAAGAGGTGCTTCAGGGAGGCCATGGCCAGGGCCTCCTCGGCCACGTAGGTGATGGGGTTGTGGCCCATGTCCAGCCGGGTGGCCCCATCCAGCCTGGCCAGAGCCTCGCCGGGCAGCGCCTGCAGCTCGTTGTGGTCCAGGCTGAGCCTGCGCAGGGCGGGCAGGGCGGCGAAGGCCTCGCTGCCCAGCACGTGGAGGGCGTTGTGGGTCAGCCGGAGCCACCTGAGGGCCTGCAGACCCTGGAAGACCATGTCCGGGAGGTACACTAAGGCATTCGCCCTCAGATTGAGGACAGTGAGGGACCCCAGACGGCCGAAAGCGCCTGGCTGAATCTCCTCAATACGGTTCCCCTCCAGAACGAGCTGCTGGAGGGATGAGAGCCCATCCAGGGACTCCTGGTAGAGGAGAGTTATGCCATTGGAGGCCAGATTGAGGTAGACCAGCCTCCCCAGCCCCCGGAAAGCCCCTTCCTCCAGCCTCTCCACCTTGCAGCGCTGCAAGTCCAAGTGTGTGAGGTATGGGGTGGTGAGGAAGGCTCCTGCCGGGATGACCGTGAAGCTGTTGCCCCGAAGGTCCAGTTTTTTGGTGAGCTGTCAGTAACACAAATACAACGCTGCGTCAGCCCAGGGCTGTCATCCCCACCTCCTCTCCCCGCCGTTCTCTGCCCGTTCCTTCTCCCACCTGCGGGATGGTGCCGGGGACGGCTGTCAGGTTCCCGTTGAGGCAGAGGACATGGGCACGGAGGTTGTCACAGACGCAGGGTGCGGGGCAGCGGGCAGCAGCCGTCCCCCCCAGCGCCAGGGCTGCCGTGAGCAGGAGCAGCCCCCAGGACAGCCTCATGGTGGGGGGCACCTGCAGCTGGAGAGAGACGGCGGTGAGGCCAGGAGAGGGGCCACATTCCCACGTGTCCCCAGAGAGCATCACCTACCAGCACCGGGTGCCGGGGGGGGGCAGTGCTGCGACCTAGCAGGGCAGGTCTCACTTTCTCTTGATCTCACACCGTGATTTTATAGGTTATAGGTGAGGAAGAAAGTGGAAGAAGGAGAAATTAAGTATTTAGAATGAAACGGGAAGGTTATGGATAGCAGGTCTCCATTTGGAAACAGCTTTTCTCTGGGTTATCTAAACTCCCTGAGGGACATTGGGGAGCACCGACGCAGGGCTTGGCAGGAGCATGGGGGTCACTCATAGGGAACTGCCTTGGAGCAGGCACGCACACACAGAGCACACACACACACACCCCCGCCTTTTTCTTCATATAACACTACCATAAAATTATCTTGATCTACACAAGTATCAATAGTCTTCCTACAACCAAGGCTTAGGGTTTTTTATAAGGCAAGCAGGTATAGCCACCCAGGGGGTGTGATCATGCTGGCTTTCTGAGCTGCTACCTTTCTTTTAATTGCAAATGTCCCGTCTTCCCAGCTCTGTGCCTCCCACCCTGCACGCTCGATGCTTCCACCCCCCCACCCCCACCCCCCCCCCCAAGCTATTCATAGCAGTTTTCGGAATAGACCTCCACTGTTTAGCCGCAGGAAGGACGAGTTGGTTTTGGCCAGGCATGAGCAGGCCCCTGGGGCGGAGGTGCCGGAGAGGGGCCAAGGCTGGGGTGAGCACAGAGGGGGTGGCAGGGCCAGTACAACCCCCCCCCCCCTTAAGCTCTGGGGAGCAGCAGCTGTGGGGTCTGCAAGGCTCAAACCCATGGAGCCACCATGGTGCCCATCCCCTTGCCCACCGTGGCTCATTGTCCCCCCCCGGCTCTGCCCTCTTGCCCCCACCACAGCCAGCCCTGCCTCAGCCCCCCCCCCCCCCCACACACACACTGGGGTCACCCCCCCCAACCCCCGGCGAGTGCCACCAACATGCTGTCCCGAGCTCAGGAACGCCCCCCACCCACTCCATCCCGCGCCTGGGCACCGCCACACGCTGAGCACCATCCTTCCACCCCCTCCCACACACCTGGGGGGGTGTCACGCACCCGGGGGCCGGGGTCTACCTGCTCCTCAAGAGGCGGCAAAACCAGAGGGGGGAAGCGTGTTTCCCCCCCTGCCCCGTCCAGCTGCTGCCAAGCTCCTGTGCCGGTGTTTGTTCTCCTTGTAGAACCGAGAGCTGAATGGGCCCCGTTGTGCTGCTTTCCCAGCAGCGCTCGCCGGACAGAGCCAGAACTGCGGGAGGAGGAGAAGGAGGAGGGGAGGGAGGAAGGGTAGAGCACCCCTGAAGAGAGGGCAGCGACCCAGCCATCGCCTCCCCCTCGCCTTGCAGGGGGCCCAGGAGCACCGGCACTGGGGAGTCAAAGCCTGGCAATGCTGCAGCCCCAGCCCGGCCGCAGCCCGTGGGGGATTTGCACTCACTGCTTCCCGGGCTCTGCCTTTCTGTTTTTGGCTGCAGAAATCACGGGAGCTACGGAGGTACAGGGCACAAAGGTGACATCCAGCCAAAATTGCAGCAGTAAGCCCGAGCCAAAGGAATGAAGAAGCTGGCAAGGCGGGCTGCAGGGCTGTGCCACATTTACAGCTCGCTGGTCTCCTCTTTTTTTTTTTTTCCTCTGTTTGTTTTGAAGAGGCCGGGGTGGCAGTGCCTGTGTGAAGCACCACTTGCCTGCAGAAGGGCATGGAGGTCTCCATTTTGCTCCCCGACTCTGTCCTTTTTCCAGCTCTGCGTTTTGCTTTTCCAGGGAATATGAGATCTGTGGCCTGACCAAAAAAAACCCGTAAGGGGTGACACGAACGTCTCTCTCCCCTGGTTAGCAACCTCAGCTGCCAGAACCAGTATGGCCCTTCCCAGTACCGCGCATGGGTGCGCTGGCCAGGCTCTGTGAGCCTCCCCGGCCCCTGCCTTGGGGCGCCATCCCTTCCGTCCCCGGGTGCTTATTGCTCCCGCGACACAGGGCGACCGTCCCACCCCACCGATGCGCTGGGCAGCTCGGAGGCACCGGCTCTGATGTTCACCTCCGCTCCGCTGTGCGGGGAGGAGCTCTGGGGGAGGCAGGTCGAGAGGGGGGTGAACCCGCTGCGGGCTGGCAGGAGTCACCCCCGGGGAGCTCGCTGCCCGCACCGAACCACCGCGACCCGTTTCGGGGTTGTGGCTGGTCTCGGAGCGGGGGCCGGGTGAAGGAAGTGGCGGCTGTTGCGCGTTACAACCATTTTCTGGCCAGCGCTGGTCGAGCTGGCTGGTGGCCTTCGCCCTGCCCCTGCCGCGGGGCCCTCACGCTGCTCCCCGAGCGGTGCTGTGCCCCGGGCCCCCACGCCAGCCTGGCCTCACCGACCGCTGCCACCCGCCCTGCCGCCGCCCGACACCACCTTGCAGCACCACCTCTTCCCCACGCTCCAGGCCGCCTCCTTCCCGGATCCGTCGGACATCGCTTGTCCTCTGCCTAAGGGGCAGCAGGGTAGAACGGCTCTGGCCAGGCATTTTTAGGGACCTGGGGAACCTTGGCCACCTCCACCCGGACTGCACCCTCCTCTGCCCCGCTCCCGGCCACCCTGCAATCTCAGCAGCAACCCTGGCCACCAGCTGATGTGCAGCCACCATCACCCCTACCACAATTCTGACCAGCCCAGCCAACCCTGGTCCCCCCAACGTTTCCCCTGGCCAGGAGACCCTACCCCTGCCTGGCCAACCCCACGGGCAGCAACACCTCCCCGATGGTGGCCTGGGCTCTGCTGGAAGACCATGGGGAGGTTGAAGTGTGGTACAAGGCACCAAGTGCCACCTCTGCCCTTTCCCCAGCCTCCCCCCAGGCTTTTAGTTTGCTCGTTTAGCCAGCAACGATCTCCCCAGCTTCAGCTTCTGCTGAGGTTGCAGGGAGGCGGACAGTCTTTGCTCCCTCTGACGGGACATGGAGGCAGCACACTTGAACTTCCACTCGGTGGGGTTTAACCCACCTCTGCCAGGCCAGATTCTTTTGCTTTCCCTTAAAGGAAATGTTTCACTTTGCCTGCAAGGAGCCCAATCCCCTTACTACCCTTACAGGGTTTCCACTGCTCACAGCTGCACCCAAAACGGCTCCGTGCAGAGAGAGTTCCGCACCACCCCTGCCCTGCTGGACTACTGAAGTTCATATTAAAAATACTTCTAACAGCAGTGCTTTTGAGGGGAGAGAGTTGCACAAGAAAGGCTGAAGCAGCACTGGAAAACAGCCATCTTCTGGGAGCAACTTCTAATGGAAACCAGAGCTAGCAAATCCCATCCTCTTTTTTTTTTTTTTTTTTTTCCATAACACTGAGGTATAAGCGAATTTTAAGGGACTTCTGAGTCCATGTCCTACCTAGAAGCAAATCTGACTTCTGCAGAGACTGTCACTTCTACCCTCACACACCCCTTTTTCCTGCAGACATCTAGTCTTGACACTGAATACCAGGACTGAGATAATCCTAATTCTAAATATTACTTGCTTTTGAAAGAAACTTAGGGAATCAACATCTCCCCCTTGTTCTGCTGCTATGGCTTGGCTCCTCAAAGCCTCCCGCACGGGTTCTCCCCAGGACCTGGCCCACAGGTCTTTGTGCAAGCAGCAGCACCCCTCTGACCTTCCCAGGCTCTGTCAGACAGCCTCGCACGCGTGACGTGCTCCACAGGACCCGCTGCAGATGGCCAGGGAGCTTCAAGGAAAGCTATGCTAGGCTCAAGACTTACAGAAAATACAGATTCTTTGATGCCGGTTTTGCCCTCAAGCTCGTGGCAAAATTTACAGATTTGTTTTTGCAACAGGCAGCTGAAGGAACAGGATGGGATGAAGTAAAGGAGGCAGGGCCAGGCCTGCAGTGATTGAAGCTCCCTCGATAAGTGCAGGTACCTTCACGGCAGTTGATTTTTATCAATTTGTACACAGAGGAGTTCCAGCTTCAGTCACAGAAACTGGGAGGAAATGCCTTCTGCTGTAAGTGTGATACAAAGGCCAGCACCTCCCCTGCCAGAGCGACAAGCGACAGCGCTTTCCTGCGCCTGCCAGGTGGGAGCCACACAAAACCTCCCACAGCCACCCCAATTTCACCAGCGGCTGCCTTCCGCAGGCCCACAACCTGGAAGAACGTAAGCAGAGAGTACCTGCAAGTAGGTCTTGCACATACCACGCAGTTTATTTCAATCCAGTGCCACAAGCCCTTTTTTTCTGTCAGTGCTGCCTGCACAGCCCGGGGAACCAACATCAGATTTTCCTGCATTGAGGCCAAGCACGTGCACCCTGGCAGCTGTGGTACACGTTGCCTCTCACAAGGAAAGGACAGTTAACTCCATTTCCTTGACTTCTTCCTGGAATTGGCACTATTTATACTGCATCTCGAGCGTAAGGTCAGGTAAGGGAAGAAAAATTGTCTCCAACTGAAAGCAGAGAGGGAAGGAACAACTGTTTGCTACCTAAAGAGAGAGAGGTGTTGATTCTCAGAGGCTTGAAAGGAGTGCAGGACCAGCCCCTGAGCTTGTGTGCTCACGAGTGGTACAGGTAGGTGACACAAACACACGTAGGCACATGAACAAGCCTCCATACAGAGGTTTTGGGGAATCTGCTGCTATTCCTTCAGCATAAGAAAGAAGCACAGCTCTACCTGAGAACCATCAGCAGAGCCTGAACTCTTCATGCTCCTACACCTGCTCAGCTTTCAAGCATGTGAGCGGCGCACACAGCCCCCCGTGTTTTGTCCAAGGGAGGAGAAAGGGACCACATATTCCACAGGGATTTCATGGATTGTATTCGTTTCCAAACCAAGCTTATTTAATTAGGAAGAGAAGGGAAAGGGATAGGGAAAGGGCAGGAAGAGGGAACAACACAGGCAATGGCAAAAAAAATTTACAATAAACATATGCTTGCTCCCTTAAGCAGTGGCCACCAGGGTCAGCCACACTACACGAATATTCCAAGTCACAGCAGCAGGGGAGTAGTATTTTCAAATACAGATCAGCCACACACTGCCTTCAACAAATGGACTTGAAAGAAGAAAGGGGAGCACAACTCGCCCCTCTGACCCAGCAGCAGCAGAAGGGGGTCAAGCAGTCCCCTGGCCTGGAGAAGCAGGGGCAGCAGCAGCAGCAGCGTAGCCTCCCTCCTGCACAGTGGTGAATGCTATCATCAGGCAGGAGTCACAGTCCAATAAAATAAAACAAAATGCACAACTGAGTTGATCCTGATGAGAGCAGTTCTGGGCCCCCGGGTGTTACTCTTGGCACACTCTCACCAATGCGACCAAAGTGGAGAACTCTTCAATTCATGCAGAGCTCAGAGCAGCACTGATTTATTCTAGCACAAGCACCTGCCCTACAGACCAGGGAATCACTTCATGAGTAGAAGGAAAAAAAAAAAAAAATTCAGCAGGATTTGTACAAGTTTAGAAAGCAGAAGAAAGGACAGACCTCCTACAGGGAGGGGGAAAAAGAGCAAAAAAAAAAAAAAAAAACCACAAAAAGAAAAATAAAAGAAGAAAGAAGAGCATGTCTGTATGGGCTCTGAGATCCTCTCCCACCCTGCAGCTCTGAGTTCTCTGCTGACGACAGTCCCAGGAGGAGGGAAGGGCACAGCAGCACATCTCTTGTCTCTTACAGCTGGTGGAGGGTTTGTAAGAGCATGTGGCGAGCAAATGAACAGGAGTCAAGAGCACGGTTTGGTCTGTGGGAAGAAGGGAGAGAGAGAGGTTTAAAATGCTAAATTTAAGAACTGCTTTGTATCTGACTTAGTGTTTATTTGTTCCTTCAATTTCAAACGCAGTAGGTTTGCATGCCCAAAAGCCTACATCTTTTCCCCTCGGTTATCTCTTCTGAAACCATTCCCTCACTGCTGCATGGATCACTGCTTCCCATTCAGAGCTTGCTGTGGAAAACTCTCTCTCCTTCGCCGACTCCAAGTCAAGAAGACAGCAACCAAGAATCAGAACATTTATTTCCAGGGGTACAAAAATCAGCAGCTGATCGCTGATCCCTGCAGCCCAGTATCTCATCTTGGACAGAACAAAGCCAGTGAGGGAGGAAGCCCCATTCCCTCCCTCCCTCCCTTCTGGCAATGAGATTTTCTATATAGATCCACTGTTTAAGGCCCTATAATAGCCCAAAACAAGCCTGCTCATACTCAAATCTTTTCTCACCAAATCACCTGCTCTCTATGGCCTGATGGTGACTTTGGCCTCAGGGCTTTTTAAGTCTTTAGAAGAGGCAACTTAGCCTCCTGCCTTCTTCACCCCTGAGATCAAGAATACCTGATTGGCTTTGCCAGGTCACCTTTCAGGGTGCCTTATAAATAGTCTGCAGAACCTGCAGAGCATCACCTGCAAGGGCCTGACACAGAGTTTGCAATAGCAAGCTCTACCTCACACAGAATAACCTGCTC